AAAATTATATTATTAAACCAAATATAAATTATTTCGTTATTGTATATAAACTAAATTATAATAAAAAATTGAATTAAAAAATTAAAAAAAATAAAAAAAAATAATTAATTTAATTATAATATCAATATATTTTTACCAAATTTATATTTTATTTAAAAATAAAAATATAATCAATTTCTCAAAATTATATCATAGAGATAAAAAATAAAATAAATATTAAAAACAAAATGTATTAAACCTTAACAAAATTATGTGGTAGCGTACGACCAATAACAGCTGCACCTACAGATCAAGGTTTTGCTAAACTTCCTTTTCCAGGGGAAAATTAAAACCAGAGCAACAAAACCGAATTGACTTTCACATCGATTAGGTAAACGACGTCGTTTGCTCTACAATAGAAATTTCAGCTCTAAAAAAGGTATAGTTGGAAATGATCCAGTGAAACCGAAAGAATTCTTATCTAGTTGTACAACCATTATAAACATCATACTGGAACCTATTTCCAGCCGTCGGATCATCAAAAAACCCATCAGTGACCCCACCAGAATTATTTCCGGTCCCGCCACTACCATAACTACCATCCATTTCATATTCTTCAATTTCATCGTCACCGTTCACTCCTTCATCCGACGATAAAGGTGCTAACCAGCACGTGCCATGCAGATGCCCATTCACACAAACGAAATATTCCAGCGCGCCTTCGTGTGAGCCGAGCCGTTTAGCCGCATTCCTAGGAACTAAACCGGCTGTCGTCATACTCCAAACACGGGCCCCACAATACGGACACCTGTCCTTCTCCTCCAACGCCACTTGTCTCGCTATCAAACAGGCACGTGTTTTCGATTCACGAAATCCCCGAAATACCCCTCGGAAAACCCCTAAATCATCCTCCCTATCCCCCATCCGATGCTCACAGGGATCGCTTACAAACAACAAGTCGCCACGACACCGTTTCATCAAAAAGCTCCGACCGGATGTTTTGGAGAACCGGGATTCCATCACAAAATGACCCGGTTTAGGCCGGCTTAACACGAAATTCCGGCTAGATTCGCAACCGCCGCAGAAGAACAGCAACTTGGCTAACGCCGGCCAACCACCGCCCATCCGGCTGCTGTGAACACCGTTAGACAATGTCTCCGTTATCCTCGGCGCCCGGAACAAACACAGCTCCCGCCACAACAACCGCTTCGCCATGGCGCGAAGTCGCCGGCAAACGGAAGCCGTCCGGCAAAGCAATTGAACATCCCATTTCATCCACTCCATAACTAACAAAAGCACTCTCTCGTTGAAAATATCCGGTTCGTTTGAACCGGACCCGCTGCCGCTGGATGCCGTGTTCAGCCTAACCCTCTGGTTAGCGCTCATTTTCTCCCGATCTCAGGCGAAATCGGGGTTTTACACGCTATATAAAGTCGCACCGTAGCTAGAATAGTACTACATGGAGAGTGACTATTGGAGGACCAGTTTTCTTTATTGGGTTGTGCTCCTGAAATTACGATCGTGGACGATTCTGATTGGTAGGAACTGGCCACGTGGAGGTAGATAAATGTTGCTTGAAAGGAAGGAAAACGGATGATCAGGTGAGAGACTGCCACGCGTCCAGGGAGATTATATTAAAAGTTGGTTATTTGAAAATATCTTTGAGGGGCTAACGTGGCGGACTAGGAGGGTATGATGGCCACGTCTGAGGAAAATATTTGATGATGGTGGACACGTGACAGGATATGGTGGCGGCACGTGGAGTAAGTGACTTGTTTAGGGAAAAAAAAGGGAAGAAAGTGGAATAATTTTTAATGGATAGTTTTGGTTGTTTGAAGTTTCCCCAAAAAGGGTTAGTTGGTTGTTTGGATATTGAGATATTTTCACTTTTTGAGTGTTTTCTAGATTGTTTGTAATTTTTTTTATTAAATTAGAAAGATATTTGTGCAATGCAGTGAGATATATTTCGATTTTAATATTTTGTTTTATTTATTTCTTTGTCTTAGTTGATGTTATAATACAGTTTTATGTGGTTAGAGAAAGCGATAATGTTTTTATTTTTAAATAAAATATAAATATGAAGATATCATAAAAAATTGAAACAAAAATATTGGTATTAGTATCAAACTAATTATTTAAATTTTTTTTTTTTTTGTATATTTCTTTAATTCATTTTTCTTTTTTTTTAGTTTTATATTATAATTTTATCTTAATTGTATTTTAGATTTTTTATATTTAAAATGAGATGTTTATCCTCTATTTGATTATATTTATCTGCAGTTAGTTACAATAATTCAAAGATGAAGTTTTAATAAGTTGTACTTACGCAATCTTGAATTTTAAGTAATATACATCAATAAGCAGAACTTAATGCATAAAAATGGTTTTTAAGAGTTTTTGTCAAATGTTTTATAATATAACTAGAAGCGTACTCGCGCAATGCAGCGAGATACATCATGTTTTTAATATTTCATTTTATTATTTATCT